TTGTGCAAACACAGAACCGTGGAATTTTCCAGTTTCTGATAGAGTGGCTCACCTCGCTGCTAAAAATGTGAAAAAAATCACAAATGGAGAAAGTGAGGACTTTGATACTGCAAATCCATCTATACCCATTGAACTATTAACCAGTTAATTTAGGGTTTGTCTACAGAATAATCTTTTCAAGAAATAATCCATTATATTACTTATATAACTTTTTAAATAAACTAAATCTTCCTAATTTTTCGGAAATGATAAAATGATGGCTTTTGTGCTGAGCAGCTTACTAGGTTTAAGGCAAAAACCTCAAACTAGAAACAAAATGGCATTCAAGTCAGCCACCACATTGTTGAATTTCTTAGTCATAAACTAATTGCGCAATAAATTGTATTGTTTACGACTACCATGTTAACCCGCCGTTTTCGGAGCCAAACCGTTTTGTTAGGCTAAATTTATTCCTAAATGGATTCTCTTCGCAAATGATGACGTACTACCGACATCATTTGATGCCAATATTCACGAAGTTACGTGGAAAACAGTAAAGTGCTGGAAGTGACTGTCCAACAAATATAAAACAAAGAGCTTGTCACCAATTCATTTACGCATGGCGCACTGTTTTTCAGAGTTGTGGTCACTTGTTCATGTGCGTCAACGCTAACCGGAAAAAATGTATTGCCCAACTGGACATTGCTTAAACTTGCAATAGCCAAGCACATAACTATTCTTTAATGTCAGATACAGAGTTGAATATTGCTTATAAGTTTTCTCGGAAGTTACTGTCCCTGACTCTTGTACGGCTTGAAGGTAAAGAACAAAGGTTGCACATACAATGGGAAAAAATCTCGCTGGGTAAACATGTTAACATCTCCTCGAGGAAATACCCACAGAGAGTAGTTACTCATCTTCGGAGTCCACGAAGGGCATTCTGTGGAAGAATTACGTGAGATTTTCCTACTCTAGAGAGGTCAATCTAACCTTCAGTGAAATGATTTTATTTCTCCTGCAATACAGTTCTTGCATTAAGTCAACCGAAATGCTTCAACAACATCTCCACTAATGACAACAAATCGCCTTTTCACCATAAACGCAATGAGGTACGCACAATAAGAATATAAGTTTGTATCTCCTGCACTGAAGCACCGTTAAATGAGCAGTCTTTTCGGAAACAACATCTAGGAAAGACCGTCCTGATTTATTTATTATTAGCATGGACAAGTGCAATAGCTTTTTGAGATGTGAAATCTATAGCGAGAGAAGGGATAATGGAAACACATTGAAAATGTTTTTGTCCGCTTTATTCTGTTTTTCTGTCAAGGCTGGTTAGTTGACATTATGTAACCGTCAAACAACATGGAATCAAACATCCACGAGTTCGACGGAGGATTGTTGTTATTCATTCCATTTCCCAGTTTCTCAGGAACGTTGAACATTATTGGAAGCCAGAAGTCCAAAATGTTTCCAATCTTCAGAAAACAAACATAACAGCAGGAACGGAGTGCACCATATGTCTACTCCCATAACTAAATCCTTTTTTCACATTGCCTTCCGTAGGAGCGCAACCTGCATAACAATCTGCTCCACGCTGTACACCGTCAACCCGCATAACTCTTCTAAAAATCAAGGAGAGGCAACAAAAGCCTACACAAAAATGACTCGAATTGATTTACTCTCTAAAAGCTTTACGTACCCGTTTCTGTCACAGAGCAAATATTGCGCTATTGGAAACCCTTATAGAGGATGTAAATCGATATCCAACTAGCGTAAATTACACAGTTTAATCAGCCAATCTGTGGTAGGGAAGTTAGCCCACCAAAAAGTCATCTGACACATCTCCACTTCAGTGAACGTATGTTCAAAGCAAATCTGCGCGATTCTCCCGGAAGTATCACTCGTCAGGTACAGAGAATTTATGAGGGTATGCGGGCTACCCATATCTCGTGTCCACAGAGTACGACAGATTCACCGCCGTACATGCATTGTGCTTGTGACGGGAGAAATGATGCCTTTGCTTCGCAGTCATCAGGGATTTTAAGTGTGAAGTGTGTGGGGAGAGCGTTTTAAGTTTGCGTTTCAGAATGGATTAGTTTGTTCAATGGCTAAAGTGTCGGGTTGTTTTAAATAATCTGCACTTTCAAAGGGTTTGGTCCAATAAAGGTGAGTTAGTCGGCGCATCCCCAAAACATGTCTCGGTCTCCGAGGTTTTGGTGACAGGTAATAAAGATTCAATTGGCATATTGATGTTACAGTGGAGCAGGAAGCAATTGTCCCTTCTCTCTATAATGCGAGTGGTGCTCTACGGCGGAACCTTACCGTATGCACTCTCACACCCACGGAAATAGGTCTTGGAGTTTCCATGAGATATAATGGTTGAAAACGAAAGCTTTACTTCACTAGATGCTTTTGAAGTTTCCGTTTACCATAAGACTAGAAAAATCAGCTTTATTCCATCCAGTATTATTAGTCAGTAGAACGAAAAAACTCTATTGAGCCTTTCCGATTAACACAAAGATGAATGGGGCAACATTCAGCGTGGTTTTTGCGCATTGGCACATCCTAAAGTGAAAGATAATGCCAGAGAGTACCATGGAAATTATAGCGACTAGGCTGGAATCCCGGTAATTTTCGCGGTATTTCATTGCTACCTTTTTGAAAATTAGAATTACATTTGAAGCTTTTTGCCCTGTCAGAATCACATCCAAATTTCAGATATTTTCGCTAGAATGATCATGCTGGCTAAAATGAGTTTTTTTAAACAACGCAGGTCGCAAACCGTTTGGTGTGCGTGGCTCATTGTGCTGCTACTAGATGAGACTTTGAATTCACTGAGATTAGTTGAATACGCAGCGAGGATGAGATAGTTGTACAATACTTCATTTTTACAAGCGCAGACTGACATCGTTTGCAGGAAAAATCGAGGCTGTTAATAGATTGCTTGCAACAAAGTTTTCAGCTATTTGGCCACAAAACAACCCGACCTGTTTCATACAAAATCAATCCAAGCAGTCTTTAGCTTCTTTGTTTTATTATAACGCCGGATAATCACGAAACATGGGAAACCTTTTAGACGGAGAAAGTTTTCCTTTAGTTAAAATTTTCTTTTCATATACGGGCTGTGCACATAAATCGGGTATGCTTCGCCCGATAAAAAAGCATATGGCACAGTTTTGTTGATTTCTGATGTCGCAAAAGAGAGCGATATCATGTTACGAAATTCTTCAACGACCATCAAGTAGGAAATTCTGTTACATGGCCTTATCCAGGATGTCTGTTTACGCGTATGTTGTAAATAAACCTATGTGTTCCTTCAACTTGGTTTGTTCACAAAATGTTGAACTGCCAGACTGGCTAGTTTGGATCCCACGCGCTACTCATACAATTATGTTTCTTCCTATTTGGTAGTCACATAGTAATATGCATCCAATTTTATCCGCTGCACTGATTTTCCCAAATGTCTGTAGTAGTCCGTTGCTGTGCTTCTTTTCCTGCTCACTGCACCTGCGGTGCTAATTTGTTCTAGCAAAAACATCTATGTTTGTTCTACCGCTCAATTTTGATTTTGTCTTACGCTTTCTGAGGCAAACCGATTATAAAAGTATTTTCGTGCTAACCGTATACAAATATATCCGGCGACGACCGGCTAACGAGAAGCAAACAGTTCACAAACCCGTTTCACCTTGGGATAGTAGTTAAGTATATGGGAAGCGGTTTTTCTCGGTTATAGCACTGTCAGCAAGTGCTAAGCTGTGCTGGCAATCACTTGTAGACAAAAGAGAGTGCTTGAAACCCCCGCGTGTAAACAAATTCTTTACCCAAGCAGTCAAGAAAAAATCTTTACACAAAGAAAATGCGAATGTGATTAGCGCTTAGCTTTCGCCTCGGTAGTATACTCCGTAAAATTTTCAAAACAAAGCATAGTAAGGGATTTTTAGAGGTGGTTTCCAAAGACCGTGTTTGTTGGTTCTCTTTGACTGACGAATGAAAAAACAAGTGTTGAAGATGGAGTCATTGCATTGGGGTGGGGGCTTTTATTGCAGGGTTTTAAGTCGCGCTGATTGTTCAGAATAAGGACTTCAGATTATTTACACCTGTGGTTCCCTAAGTTAATTAGTTTAGGATTTTCGGGGCTAACCAGAACCACTTCACGTTCAATCATTTTGCAATTTTTTAGACTTCTTTAATTTACAGAGTCCTATCATACAATTGTAGATGTTGCGCCCACTCAAGGTTAAAATATCAATCAAAAAAAGACAGACTGACAATGACCTGTCACTTGAGGAAGTGTGGGAATACGGAAACACCAACAAGCGGTCAGACATGCATTTCACCTGGGACGTTCCGTTTCCGATCTTGCAGCTGGTCATACTGTGCAAGAATTTTGTGTTTTATCAAAGTTAATTTAGTTGTCTAGCTATAAGACAGGAAAACTATCAAGCCTACTATCGTCAGTCGTCACGAGTGATAAGTATCTATGTAAGATAGGAGATATTTATGACTGAGTCTTAAGTTATTAGCTCAGCTAACACGCGTATGTAAGGTTTAAATAAAAAGAAGCCTCACGGCATGGTTATCTGTAAATCTCGACAGAATATTATGTTATCGTACTTAGCCACCGAAAATTCTGTTTTGTTTTTCGGAGTATAAATGGATTATAAATTTTCGTACACGACTTTGGTTTCACTCTGGACCTGTCTGTAAGAACATTCCAACTTCCTAATGACACATTTGGGAAGATACATAGTGGAAAAGCCCTGCCAAAGAGTGTTGAAGCATTTTGAGGGGATCAATGAACGATTATTTGTTTATTTGCCTTGGATAAGTCTAATCGTGACACACAAACCACTCAAGACAGATATTGCAAGAATACACTTTACTAGCTGTGAAATGCCGTCGTCACTGATTAATTGGATATGGGTTTCCCATGCAAATGTTTTGTCCACACAGCCGCTTCCCTTCCAGAATGTGTGAATTTTGGTAACTAATCTCAAAAACACAAGCAAAACTTACAACTGGAACCGCTCATCCCAAAAGGGATTTAGTGTTTGTAGCTTCACCGATGTCCGACGCACATCTTTTACTGGCTTCCGATGGCCCTTAAAAGCCAGTCGTTTGTGAAGGACATCTGCATCTGCCGTACAAACTGGACTTGCAGAATCCTGTGTGATCATGTGGCGAATTATCGAGTCTCGGGAACGCCGTACGGTTAGTGCACCAGTGGGTTCCGTGCCTAATTGCAACAAACCCCCAATATTATCGCTGGAAATCGAAGCTTGCGAAGACAACGTTGAAAATTCATCGTATCCCAGTACAATTCCAAGGACGCAATAGGGATCGCTTAGACCTGTTTCAAACAAAACGGAAAGAATTTCGATTAGAATAGATCGAAGAAGAAAACAAAACTGGCAAGCTTCAGGAAGTACCACTACGACACGTGACAACTAAGTTAGCCGATCCAATCCCGCTCTGATCCGATATTCTCGATTATTTAGGCATCCAAGATTGTCACTTCACTACAATCTTAAGAGTAACATCTGGATATTCGTAGTTTCCGCTTACCGCGATGATGATCAAAATGATAACGCTGATAAAGGAGAGAAGGAGAATGGAAACGCAAAAATCTGAAGTGGAAAACATAACGAAATAAAGCAAGTTAGTCAACACGCAATGATTATATAGTTTTACGGTGAAAACTTTGAGAAATCTTTCTGAAAGTTTATCATTTCAGAAAATTTTCCACTGACCGTACAAAAAGGTGCGGCATGCTAGGTTTGCTGCGTGAAAAAGGAAACAGTATGAAAGACTCACCATTTACATCTTTGTCTGCTAGCTCGCGCGCCTCAACCACCTGCACAACTAAGAACAATCTTGAGGGCTGAAATGGAACACAGAGTGTTGGCATTCTTCGCGCGAATATGAACTGACGAAATTCAATAGGACAATACGTCTTTTTTCGCCCAATTATAAGTTTGACAAGGCATCTCAATTAGGATTTTCATCACGTCTTTCAGGCTTCATAAATTGCGCGGTGGTCCCTCTGCACATCTACCAACTATTCAGTAAGGCGTATTACAATTTCTTCTTTCATAAAAGTTTCTAAGATAAGCGGAAAGCTTGATTACACTACCTGATATTTAAATTCACCTCATTCAACTTATTTGGGATTTTAGCTTTCATGATGAGCATTAACAACAAACAAATGGCAAATATGTAAAGAACAGCGCGTCCAGATATTTCAGAAGGACTTTATATTTTGTCGCGCATCGAGAGCAGCAAGCTGTATCATTCACCTCTATTTTGTGCTCACCTTGATCTCGCTACTCTTTGAAGCTATAATTTGCAGTGGCAAGCGATGATTATAGGTTTCGTTTCGGCCTAAGAGCTCCGTTTTAAGTAAGTATGTGCCTGAGTGGCAGCAAAACTGACTGCAAACGAACCTCTTATGTTCGGTTGCAGATAAGTAAGATACATTTCTCTTTTTGACGGTGGCCGCCATTTTTAGGCTCACCTCATCTAGCAGCTGTTGGCTGCCTAAATATCAGACTTTTCTGTTAAAGAACTGTTCTGGATTATATTAGAAAATTCGTGATTGACGTTTGCAAAATATGAAGATGTTCGGAAAACTCGGTAAGTCTAAGCTTCAAGTCCTCAAACTCTAATGAAGGTTGCATGGACACAATTCAGTATTCATGGGATTTTATAAACTCTTCGACAGCCCATAACCGGTTTCGCCTTTTTTAAGACTCATCAGGAAGGCGTGGTCCTCTAGTTTCCAGCAATCTTATTTTCTGCTTGCATGAAATTAACGAACTACGCTTATTTGCATAACTACCTTGGTTTTGACGGAATACCAAGCTGAAACTCTCGTGAATAATGTTTTTGAACAACTGAACGTGTTGCATCACTTGGGTTTATGTTTCAGTCGGTACATTTTTTTGGATAGGCAAAACACTTGAATAATGTTTTTGAACAACTGAACGTGTTGCATCACTTGGGTTTATGTTTCAGTCGGTACGATATTCTAGATAGAGCAAAACACTGTATAGACATATTGCACTACTCATAAGGTTAATAACACTGTAAATAAGAGATATTGCTAATTTCCAGTTGGATTTTCCGTCAAAACCAAATTGGTACGCAAATGAATGTATTTCTCTAACGGAAGATATCAAAAGTTATTATAGAGTTAAGAAGGGTAGCAAAAATACGTGACCCAAGCTTTTAGGGTACCAGGCACTCAATATTTAGGGAAAACCTAATAGACATAGCATTTCTGCACTACAGTTATCCAGTATATCCCAAAAACCTTCCGAACTAGAAATCGGAAAGTACTGATGGCACAAAAAATGAGATCGTGTGCTGGGATTCTTGAACACACACCACTACAGTAGCCCGGAGTTGATCTCTCCAACAAAAATGATAGATTGTGGAGTAATTTGGTGGGACAAAGAAAGCTAATTGCCAAGTACAGTGAAAGAACCAAAGGCCGTCATTACAGCATGAGCCATAAATACTCTTCTCAATTTCGGAAGAGTACTGATCTTTCGCTCTTTTTAGTCATATCCGTGATATTTCATTCACAAACTTTCAAGTTCATTTTAAAGTGCAACCAAAAAGTTTTTTGAACATTTGGAGTGCTGACTGTCCGAAAGGTGATCGACGTAACCTTTTAGCTGCATGTAAGATAGTTTTAAACCCTAATATCAAGCAATTTTCTTAAAAGAAGCAGTACAATGCATGTTCATATGATTTGCTGAGCAAACTCAAATTACGAAATTAGCTAATTGTATCATTTTGTCGTGCACAGAGTAACTGAGGAAAAGTGTTAAAACACCTATTACACGCCTACTCAAAACATTCCGAGAGGTTCTAATTGTTTTTTCTATGCGTTTTAATTATGGCCACAGTAATCAATAAATTTAAAGCCTCATAAATGTTCTAAATCATTAAAATTCTCTAACGGGTGTACTTCAACATGTAATTAAGGTATCACTCCGCTTCTGTGTCTTGGGTGGTGTGATCTTACAAGTGTGGACTTACAAATAAATCATTGCAGGCCCTTGCTAATCCCCCAAGCAATATCTTTAGTTTCCTCAGAAAGAAGAGTGACACATGCCGGTAGCAAATGCTTAGCTACTAACTGGGACCTAAGTCATCCCCCTCTATGTAACTTACTTATCCATACGCTTGTGTGCGTCATGCCATTTTATGGCGAGTATTTTTATTGTAAGTTCTAGCATCAAAAACGCTAGTATTCTCTGTCCTCTCATGTGTTGCGTGCATCTCACATTATCTATGTAGGACTTTGAATAAATGTTTCCTACTCAATCTATCATGAAATATACAGCGTAATATCCCAAGGACCACCCACTGGAAGCTCGACGATTGCATCTGGGATTGATGACCCTTCACTTATTTTTTCTAATCTGTTTATGGGCGCCCTCAAAATTAGTTTTTTATTAGTGTACATTTCCAAAAAACCCTAGCCACGTCTTAGTCGAACATTTTCCCCTAGAACAAATCTCCTTGGTCTGCATCTCCGGCAACCAGTCTGGTTTAAAATCTCTGAAGTTTTATCCCTTAACCTCCTTTCGTGGTCCATCTCCATTTTCACTATTGAAAACTTTAAACGTTTTGTTACCTTAATTTTGTATGTAAATCTACGTTTTCTCCGAGGCTTTCGCATTGACCATCACCTTATATATTGTGGATCATTAGACCTTCATGCTCAACCAACAAAGTGGACCAGCCAGTCATTTTAACACTTTTCGCCAACATCAAAAATCATAAGTTCTAATGCCACACAATGGGTTTTCTGAATTGAAACTACTCAGCATATTACATATTTGTTGTAAGCGAAATATCTGGTTCAGAATATAGAGCAACGATATTAGCTTTTTCAATGATTAATCAACCGTTTCATCGGTGATTTCGCAACCTTTGGTTTCGCTAAACACAGGTAAGCATTTCGTTGCTCAAATATATTTAGAAAGTGAATAACTCCATGGGCTAGATAACTTCCAGATTTACTACTCCTCGATTTGACATCTACTGCATGAACTGTATGAATTAAAATCACCATTCTGGGTTTCCTGGGTCTAGAGTCGTGCGTCAAGTGATACAATTATTAGACGCATGAGTAGTCGCTCTGCTGAAATTCTTCGCCACAGATTCTGTCACAGATTTAGTCAAATCTGGTGGATTAAACGGTTAATTCTGCATCAAGCTTAGAAAGTTTGGAGCTTTAATTATAACAGTCGGTACATCTATTTACTTTAGGAACCATTTTTGGATTTTTGCCTTTGACGCAAAATTTGCTTAAAACAATCCGTTTCATCTGCGTTTTACAAATGTGTGCACCCTGTTAAGGCGCCAAAATTTTATCGGATGTGTAAATGCATTGCCAGCTGCCTTAACTCCTTGGTGTTTTTCGACCTAACATTGAAATTTTTGCGGCCGTTTTGATGTACAAGGAAGTTTACGACAGTACTGCCTCTGGTTTTTAAACTGCAAGTTTCAACACGCTACTTTATGTATTTAATCCTTGTCATCCTATTTGTTTGCTGCATATTGCTTGATAACTATGTAAAAACCAAATAAAACGACTTATTTGAACCATTTTGTTTGTCAGATGGTGCAACTTGTGTTAAAAGCCTCGAAAATCAAAGTACTGAGAAGCCCAATAATGTACTTTGAAAGGCTTCATATAGAAGTTAGCCTAAAGCACATGAAGCATACTGAAGCAAACAAGACATTCTCAGTAGTATCGCAAAATGGCAAGCAATCCAGACCCTTGAGGGTTTGCTTTCATTTCCTCAGTCCAAATAACAAGAATACTCATTTTACACCGTAAGTGGAAAGGAATATGACGGAGATATTCACGCGGCAAAAGAGTCAAAGTATGGTTTAGAACTCGAAGGTAGACTGAGGACCCGTGGCAAATTTTGTCTGTCTTCATAGTCTGAGTCAGCGTTGCTCATTCATTAGGACATCGCTAAAAGCCGTTGGTTTCTAGGTAGTTCTGGAGTGAAATTCTAAATATTATTTTGGGATCGGCTCAGTGTTTTTCATTCGGTAATGCGGGTTTCAGAAACTTGAACTTGATGTTATCAGTCGACCGACTGGTTACCTAACTCAGGTAGTGAAATGAATGTACTAAGACGTAATCACATAGGCCGTCCTTTTTTTGTAAAAGAAATAGACCACATCGCAATAGCTTGTGAAGCGTAGTGATTACACTGCACGGCACGATTAAGTGATTGACTTGTTTTGTTAACGAAAACAGGCACTTCCAAGCATGCGATGTGCCACAGGCACATATGGACTGGGCACTATATACAGTTCGCCAGTTTTACTTTCCTAATTTATAAAACTATTGGTTCGCGCTTTGTTTGAACACAAGACGCACTTGTACTACTGATTCTACTCTTGAGAAAATGACATCGGTTTCTACTGCACACTTAGACAAACGTATCGATGCTCACAGAAGCCCAAGACCCTAACAAAAATATGAATTTTATTCGATAAAACAAGGTTTGCTATAGTTTCATCTGGGAAGCACCACCCGACTAGTATACACAGCAGAAATTAATTGCTGTAATCGATCGCACATAACCAGCCATTTTCACCAGTAACATGAGTCATTGTCTGATGGGCTCCGTTTAATGTGCCATGTGTTGTGTACAGACTAATAAAGAGCATGAGCATTGTACAGAAAAACGCCAATGCCTTTTTCTCACCAGTTGAACCACTGACTAGTTGGTATGTCAGTTAATGTCACCCAAAGGTCTGCCTCATTGGCTGCGAGCTGTGAAGTTGACCCCAATCGCCTTTTCAAATTTTTACTCCACAACATCATTTTGAATCTAACACTCTTTATTGAGGTCATGCTGACTGATCAGT